TAATATAGGTATTTAGGGCTACAAATTTCCCCAAGTACTGCTATAGGTACACCCTACAGTTTTTGAAATGTTGTATTTTCATTCAGTTGAAAATATCTTCTTTCGTTTTCTTTTACCCTGGGTTATTCAGAAGTGTGTCATTTAATTTTCAGACAATTTACATTTTTCAATATACCTTTCTGTTAACGATTTCTGATTTATTCCATTATGGTCAAAGATACTTTGGTATCTTGGTCAAAATACTTTGTGTTACCTGAATCCTTTTAAAGTTATTGGGACTTGTTTCCTGTCCCAGGAGATATTCTTAGTGATGTTTCATGCACACTTTTTAAGTTTATTTATTTTGAGAGAAAGTTTGACTGGAAAAGGGGCAGAGAGAGGAGAGAGGAAGAACCCCAAGCAGACTCCACACTCCCGGTGTGGAGCCCCATGTGGGGTTCAAACTCAGGAACCATGAGGTCATGACCTGAGCTGAAGTCGGTTGCTGAGCTCACTGAGCTAACCAGGTGCCCCTCATGTGCACTTCTAAAGAACATTTACTCAGCTGAGGTTGCATGGAGTATGTGATTAAAGTGCACTAATACAAGTTATTATTGTTCCTTTATATTCTTTTATATCTTTATTAGTTTTTGTCTATTTGTTCCATCAATTATTGATAGAGATACTTATATTGAAATTTCCATCTGTAATTATGGATGTCAATTTCTGTAAGGATACATGAAATTCTTGTTTCCTGTATTTCAAAGCTTTGACTTTAGGTGCAAAAAAACCTTAAGACTGTTAGGCCTTTCTGATGAATTGACTTTTCAACATTATGAAATGATTCCCTTTATCTCTTATAATATTGTTAGAAATGTATTTTGTTTGATACTAATATATGTACTCCAGGGGCGCCTGGGTGGCGCAGTCGGTTAAGCGTCCGACTTCAGCCAGGTCATGATCTCGCGGTCCGTGAGTTCGAGCCCCGCGTCGGGCTCTGGGCTGATGGCTCAGAGCCTGGAGCCTGTTTTGTGTTTTGTTTTCTCTGTGCCCTTCCCCGTTCCTTATTCTTTTTCTCTCTCCCCCAAAAAAAAAAAAAAACGTAAAAAAAAAAAAAAAAAAAAAACAAAATACAAGATGAAACTATATATTGTCTACAAGAAACACTAAAGAAAGGATGGGAAAAGATGTACCATGTGAAGACTAATAGAATACTGGAGTACATATATATTTTTTTTTACTTTTTTTTTCAACGTTTATTTATTTTTGGGACAGAGAGAGACAGAGCATGAACGGGGGAGGGGCAGAGAGAGAGGGAGACACAGAATCGGAAACAGGCTCCAGGCTCTGAGCCATCAGCCCAGAGCCCGACGCGGGGCTCGAACTCACGGACCGCGAGATCGTGACCTGGCTGAAGTCAGATGCTTAACCGACTGCGCCACCCAGGCGCCCCTCATCTTGTATTTTGTACTGAGTACAATCTTGTACTCAGATTTCATAAGTAATCTGAATTTTAATTGGGGTATTTATAACATTTACACTTAATGTAATTATCATGGTTATGTTTAATCCTTGCTTTGCTTTTATTTTTGTAAAGATTTTAAGTAATCTCTACACCCAACATGGGGCTCAAACTTACAACCTCAAGATCAAGAGTCACATGCTCTACCAACTGAGCTAGCCAGGTGCCCCTGTTCTTTTTATTTTTTAGGCTTTCCTTTAAGTATCTTTCATGATTCACCTGTTATCGGTTGGCCTAGTAACTTTATTGTTTCCCAGTGGTAGTTTTAGGCTTGATAGTATGTATCTTTATCAGTCTACTTTCTTTCTTTTTTTTAATGTTTATTTATTTTTGAGACAGAGAGAGACAGAACATGAACGGGGGAGGGTCAGAGAGAGAGGGAGACACAGAATCTGAAGCAGGCTCCAGGCTCTGAGCTGTCAGCACAGAGCCCAACGCAGGGCTCGAACTCACGGACCGTGAGATCATGACCTGAGCCGAAGTCGAACGCCCAACCAACTGAGCCACCCAGGTGCCCCTATCAGTCTACTTTCAAGTCATATTAAGCCACTTCACATACAGCAAGAGTCCTACAATGGAATATGCCCCCTCCTGCCAACTCTCTGGTCTTTGTGCTAGAATTGTCATGTATTTTACTTCTATAAATAAAATGTTTTGGGGGCACAAGCCCCAAAATATGTTATTCTGGATTTAATCAGCCAATCATCTTTTTTAAAAAAAAAACTTTATTTTTGGAGAGAGAGAGAGTGCATGAGCACATGCAAGCAGGGGAGCGGCAGAGAGGAGGACAGAGGATCTGAAGTGGGCTCTGTGCTGACAGCAGAGTCTGACATGGGGCTCAGATTCATGAACTGTGAGATCACAGCCTGAGCCAAAGTCTGACTCTTGGCCAACTGAGCCACCCAGGCTCCCCACAGTAATACTGAAAAAAAATATTATTTACCTACATATTTACCACTCTCAATGTTTTCTATTCTTTCATCTAGATATTTACATCTCTTATCATATTCCTTTTGCCTGAAGGATTTCCTTTCACATATCAGATAGCATAGGTCTGTTGGTGAATTTTCATTTTCATATATCTGAAAAACCCATTATTTTGCCTCAGTTTTTGAAAAATATTTTCACTGGGTATAGAATTCAAGGTTGATGGTTCTTTCAACTTTAAAGATACTTTAAAGTAATGAAAGATGCTTCAGTGTTCTGGCTTGCATTGTTTCTGGTGAAAAACCTATTTTCATTTCATCATTCTTCAGTACTTAGTTTTCTGATTTTCTCCATTGCTTAAAATCATTGATTTTAAGCAGTTTGACTACTACATGTCTCAGCATAATTTTCTTCCATGTTTCTTGTGCTTGAAGTTCACGGAGTTTCTTGGATTTGTGGGTTTATAGTTTTCATTGTTTGTCAATTTCTGATATTCTATATATATATATTTTGTATCAGAAATTTCCCCACATCTCATTCTGTCTCCTAATATATTTTCTTCAGGCCTTCTTTCTATTGCTGTCTTTAGGTTCACCAATCCTCTCTTCTGCAGTGTCCAATCTATTTCCATTCAGTGTATTCTACATCTCTGACATTGTTATTTTTCAACTGTAGGGTTTCATTTGGATTTCACATACTCAATTTTTTCTGTACATTTTTGCACATACAGAATGCATTAACTGTTTTATAACATGAATATTATATAACTGTTTTAATTTGACAAAAACTAACACAGTAATTTTTTCACAGTAACTAGAGATCTTTTATATTAACTCTGTCTTTGCCGTTTGTCATTTCTGAGTGCTCTTACTGTTTCCTCTCACTTTAGGTTGTATTTTCCTGTTTCTTTGAGAGTCTGCAAATATTTTATTGGACACAAGATCCTGTAAATTTCACCCTCATTTTTGGTGTGTACTTCTGCATTCCTTTGAGTTCTCTTGAGCTTTTTTCTAGCATGTAGTAACAGAAACAGTTTAATTCTCTGGAGGTTTGCTTTTGAGCTCTGATAGACCAGCCTAGAAAAATCTTGGGAGTCTAGTGCTATTTCTTCCCCCAGTACTGAGACAATACACTTCTCGGCACTCTAACCAATGCCCTATGGTTTTCCACACTTGGGGGAAAACAAATGATTTTGTGGGAGTGCAAGGATTTTTTTTCTGCTCCCTTTGGTGGCTTCCTTACCAGATGCACTGATGCGCTAAGCTGAAGACTTGAGGAAAATCCTTTGCAGATCCTTGGGGCTGTTTGTACAGCTCATTCCTCTTCAATACTCTGCTCTGCACTCACACCAGCTTTATCTACCCTGGCTCCCAAATCCTTCTCAGCGAAGCAAGACTTCTCCACAGGTGTGGGCTGCAATCCCTCATCAAGCAGTCAGGGGTAATCTTGGGGTTCACTGTTCCTGTTTCTCCCCCCCAGAGATCAGGATCCTGTCTTGTTTTACATCCCATCAATGGTAAAACCACTGTTTCATACATCTTGTGCTATTATCAGTAGTTTCTGGTAGGAGTAATTCCATGTTGGCTGCAAGTAGAAGTCCTTCATCAGAAATCTGTTTTATTTGCAGCCTGTGTTACATGTCAGTTGGAAAAAAGAGGTATTATTAGCTCCCTACACCTCCCCAAAACAAAATCTGCATTTTGTTCTTTTCTATTAAGAGAATGCTTCTCTAGAGTAACTGCCTTCTTTCCCCCCACAATATACTCAAGGGGTACAACTACACTGCATCCTTCACAGTGGCTTCCAACTGCAACGATCCCCTTGGGGATACAGCATGCGTGTGTGGTTTGAAAATGACAGATTCTAACGTGAAAACTCACACCTCTACCATTTCTTCCTTATATATAACATGGGTCTTCTGATTCGGTTTTCCTTCTATCATCTTATCCCTTCACTAAGGAAGAATCTTTGCAATCACGTCTCTCCTGCATCCTGTCCATTTCGGCTCCGACGAAGTAGAAGAAACCGTTAGACAAGTAGACCAGCAGTCCCAGGACATAGGTTCCAGTCTCGGCTCGGTCATTACAGTTTTGTACTGTAAATGTTCTTTTCACTTTAGGTCTCAATACAAGATGGGAGTCTCGATTACAGTGATGGTATTCGGACTACGGTCTTCCAGAAATCCCGGTGTTATTCCACCAATACACTTGAATGGCATCTTCCATTAATTCCAGACTAGAAATTAATGGGCAGAATATTTTCAATTTAACTTTTTTTCCTCCCGTATGTCCCTCAAATACTGAGCCCGCTGGTGTTTCTTAAAACTCAAAACATCTCGTCGTGTGCTTGGCACACGCGCCACGTTTCCTTCCTTCCAGGCAGCGCGCACACACACGTGCCCGGCCGGACAACGGCCCTGGTCTGAGCGTGGCACTAACCAACCCGGCATCAGGCGTCCAGCGGAGCGTGGAGGGAGACGGCCGCTCCCGACAGCCGCGCCGCGCCGCGCCGCCGGCCACCGCACTCCGAGCCCCAGCGGGGGTCGGTGCAGCCCCGCCGTCCCCGCACTCACTGCCTCCTTCTCGAACATGCTGGGCCTCCTCTCCTTCCGAGGCTGCGGCGGCGGCTCCAAGTGAGGGGCCGGGACGGCCGCCGATTTCCCGCCGTGACCGCCCGTCTCCATGCCGCCCGCTCGCCACCACGCCCAGCGACCCGCCTCCGCCCTTCCCAAGCGCCTAAGCCGCGTCCCGCGAGAGCTCAAGTCGCGCGCCTGCGTCGCGCCAGCCGGAAGTGCGGCCGGGAGGGAGGGGCGGGGAGAGGCAAGCGTCATCTGGCGGCGCCGGCCGACGGGAGCCGGAAGTCCTGGAGGAGGAGCGGGGCGGGGAGAGGTGAGGTGCAGGTGCGCCCCCGAGCGCGCTGTGGGCGTGCCCGGTGCCCGCCGCGGTGCGGGCAGGAGGAGGTACAGCGTCGGCGGTACCCATCTGGCTGAGTGGGCCGTGGCGGGGCGCGCCCTCGGCCGGCGTCCCCGGGGCTCCGGCGGGTCTGCGCGCGCGCCGCCGCGGAAGCAGGTCGGCCTTGCCCGCCCCTCGTCCGCGACCAGACAGAAGATGGGCACCCGACTCTGACCCCGAAGACGCACCCCTTGCCCTCGTTCTTCTGAGCGCCGCCTCGACCCCCAGTTGTTCCAGGGGCGCACCTTGCAGGTCCCAGGCTGAAATTCGCGAGTAGATAGTGTAAGAAATAATGTAGTATTCTCGCGCGCGGGGACTCACAGGCTCCGAGTCAGCAACATCCACGTTTTTATGGATGCCTGGAGCCAGGGTCGTGCGCACACGCTCATAACTTGTGTGTGTTCAGACTGGTCTCCATGCCCTAAAGGAGGTTTGTGCAGTGCACGAAGTAATATGGGAAGCGCTGTGTAGTAATTACCCTTGCAGTGGATACTTGAAATTGAAATTCCACGTTTTTAGGCCGTTTTGGTGACATTAAATAAATCACAAAGGTCTCAATGGCTGTAGCACGGATTGTATGGGGTTGCCCCACAGGGTTTTGTTTTCTGCCCTCCTGCAGTGAAATATAAAACATCTATCATCACTTTTAGCGATAGCTACTTTTTGAGTACAATGTGCTAGACACTTTTCAAGTATTATCTCTAATTACTGCAGCGCGGAAGATGATAATACCCTGCACCATTTACAGTTAGAACGGAGGCCCAGAATACTAACGTTTTCAAGGCAAGAGGGACAACGAATAAGGAGGAATCCAAATTTAAGTCTTTCTAGCCCCTGAGCATAGGCCATTTGCGCTACCCCATACTTGCTCTGGACAAGACACTGATGTTTCCAAGAGTAATGGTATGGGTGCACGCACACGCACACATGCAGGGTTTCTGGCTTCTAATGGGAGGACAGGCTTGTTTGTAACTGTAATATACAGGAAAATGTATTTAATTGTCACAAGTGACAAAATATGGCAGTATGTAATATTTCTTTGATTTGAAGTGGGATTTTTGTTTCTTAATTAACGTGAGGTCCTTAATTGTACAAGAGAGTATGTGCTTGAAAGTTAACATAAAGGCCAACTTCTATAATTGTGTCTTGGTAGGGGGTAGGATATTGTTATTCCCAAAAGCTGAAGGTTGTAGGAACTTGAAGATGAGCCCAGGTAGACTCCACGTAGGATGAGCCCTCGTTCAGTTAACTGTTTGTGTACGTTTGCGGTGCCCAGGGGCCATGCTGTGTCCTGGGGGTACGACTCGTAGAAGACCTGACCTTGGTGCTGTAGTATACGACAGTCTGGGGCAGGTACGTTGATCGGGTGACTACAGCCAGAAGAGAAGATATTTCTTTTAAAAAAATTTTTTTTTCAACGTTTTTTATTTATTTTTGGGACAGAGAGAGACAGAGCATGAACGGGGGAGGGGCAGAGAGAGAGGGAGACACAGAATCGGAAACAGGCTCCAGGCTCCGAGCCATCAGCCCAGAGCCCGACACGGGGCTCGAACTCACGGACCGCGAGATCGTGACCTGGCTGAAGTCGGCCGCTTAACCCACTGCGCCACCCAGGCGCCCCGAGAAGATATTTCTTAAGACTTCTGTTGCCATCCAGGGCCTGCAGCGGTGGAGTAGATGGGCTCTTGTGCAAAATATTTGTCTGCTACTTGTCACTCCAGAACTTTATAGCTCATTTCTTTAGATTTCAAATGCTTTTTAAAAATGCAAGGAGTCCTTTTTCACACGAAAGTAATTCTTTAGGGTTTTATTTCCGTATCATTTAGGTGACAAACCACACTAGTTTTTGAACTAAGAGTATTTAATAAAGAGTTAACAAGGTATAGAATTGTTATAAAAAGAATAAAGAGAGATCTCTAAAAGAATTGTGGAGGTGGTAACCACGGGAAGCAGTCACTACCTGTTGCACTCTGAGAACTAAGGGAAGTGTTGGAATTTTAAAACTTGGGAGCTGGGAGGAAGGTCCCACCTAGTGAAGCTTGGATCTTTAAGGAAGAGGGGGTGCCTCTCAGCTACTTGGAGGGTCTGGCAATTCTGGGAAGCGGACCTTTGACGAGCAGATACTGGACAGGTGGTGGTGGTCTGCTGGGGGAACGGTGATGCAGCTGGGCCCATAGGCGCCGGGAGAACCTCAGACCGGATCCAGCTGCTGGAGCAGGAGGCGCTGCCACTGCCTCGGAGAAGCTCAAAGGAACAGAAAGTGGACAGGAAGGCCCAGGCTGTGGGAGCAGGTCCCCTCTTGGTCCTGTCTTGCGGCGCCTGTCATCCCTCATTGGCTGAGTAGAGTGTGGTGTGTAGGGTCATGGCATCACTGGTTATTCGGTGCACGTTTCTTGGGCGATACCCGAATTGCTAGGGCCTGTGGAAGATGGGTTGACAGGTGGGGCTGAGAGTGGGAGGTGAAACTGGGGAGCAGGTGGGGCGAATGGGCGACACTGGATAGGGGCCGGCGTCCAGTCTAGGGAGTGCCAGGGCTTAATCCCTGATGTTAGGACAGACACCCCTTAACTTGATGCATCAAATAAAGACCCCAGGATAATTTTAGCCGCAGAGTGTGACTCCTTTGCAGGTTTATAGAATGATGTTAGTGTAATGTGGGGATAATGCTGAGGATTTTGATTTTATTTGCTCCCTCATGGAAAACCAGTGTGGTTTGCTGCTTTTTACACCATATAAAGAGTCAGAGGCAAGCTTTTTACTTGTGATTTAGTTCACTATGCTTGATTTTCTGCCTTTCCATTCCCCATTGAAAAAAATTGCTCATTTTGATAGCTGTGAGATAGTATAGGAAGGCAGATGTGCTGAGCTTTGTAAACTCATGTCTTAAATATTATTAATAATTTCAAACCTTCAACATTTATTTGAAAACATGTATGTAAACTATCTTTAATTAATATTTAATCACATTTGGGGTGCTTGGGTGGCTCAGTTGGTTAAGTGTCTGGCTTCAGCTTTGGCTTCGGCTCAGGCTCAGGTCATGATGGCATGGTCTGTGACTTCGAACCACACGTCGGGCTCTGCGCTGACAGCTCCGAGCCTGGAGCCTGCTTCCGATTCTGTGTCTCCCTCTCTTTCTGCCCCTCCCTTGCTCACGTGCGTGTGCTCGCTCACTCTCTCTCTCTGAAAGAATAAATAAACATTAAAAAAATATTTAATCATGTTTAATGATACAGCTCTCACCATAGCCAGAAAGTATGTGAACAGTAGCTATACCCGGATAGAGAATAGGATTTCCTCGTGACTTGAATATATAATTGATACTCCATTTTTACTTGTTAAATAGTGTCTTCTTTGTATTTCAGATGCTATTAGAAGATCCTGTTGCCACTTGTCTTTCTCCCTCAGTCTATGATATGATCTGTAAATTTGGGTTTGAAGTCAGAGAAACTTGTGATATCAATAGCATTGTAACTCAGAGGGGTGAAGTATGCTGGAAGACAATCACAGACTGCGTGATTTATACAGAATCAGGTCTGTATGTTCTCTGTGCCCCAGGCATCTGTCCGTACTGTTCCATTGAATGTGTCTTGCCTGTAAAATTTCCCTAAACCCTACTGACAGTGTATTTTTCTTTTATTATCAGATAAGTGCTATGTAACTTATTTCCAGCAACAACTGAGTACCTTTATTGTAAGTTTAATTATAAACTGGTTGTTGATTTTGTGGAAACTTCATAATAAAAACGTTTTTTCTTTGATGATTTAGGCATTTTCTTTTTTAATTTTTTAAGGTTATTTATTTATTTTGAGAGAGAAAAGAGTAAGGGCAGAGAGAGGGGGGAGAGAGAATCCCAAGTAGGTTCCACGCCATGAGCATTGAGCCCGAGGTGGGGCTCGAACGCCTGTATTGTGAGATCGTGGCCTGAGCTGAAATCAGGAGTCGGACACTTAACCAACGGAGCCACCCAGGCGCCCCGATGATTTAGGCATTTTCATCACAGAATGTGAAGCTGTGATACTAACACTTGTTTCCTTCTCCTTGAAGCCCAGAGTCTGGATTACCCAGGAAGTGTGAGGCTGCTGGGCCCTGTGTGTGAGGCCGTCCACTCACATTTGTTATCTCTGACCAAGGAGCAGTTTGAAATCTGTTATACACCGTGGCTGCAGTGGACAGCTTTTCCAGAGGTTTGGCTTACAAACGGTCTTTAGAAATAGAAGACTTTACAGAGTCAACTTAGAGGCCCTCATTACCTGCTAACTTTAAAGGGGTCCCCTCATCCTCTAGCCTCCACCTGTGAAAAGGGAAAACTTGGCCTGAGCTGAGAAGCACATCCTGTGAACAAAGGAAGTTTTTGGATGCATTATCCGTGTTGGGGGCTGGGGAGGTAGTTAGGCACATGGGTGCTGGTCCTGGGACAGACGAGAATGGACCGCTCCACAACAAAAGACCTTGTGGACAGACAGTAAGGTGGTGTTGAGACAGTGGGACAAGGAAATGGGGTGGGGATGCTTGGTTTGTTGAGGCTGAATCAAAGAGGGGAGGGGTAGTTTGGGGCCACGCAGTTTGGGTTGGTTTCTTGGTTGGTTCAAACCAGCCATTCCAGCTGGCACATTAAATGTCCACAACAGAGCAGTAGCTCTACAAGGTCTAGTTCTAAAATACTTAGAGTTTTCTGATGTGGAGTAGATGGGTCACTGCTTGTCCCCTTTTCTTGGCTCTTAAGGGACACGTTTTGTTTTTGGGTTTTTTTAAGAACTAATCAAAATAGGAAATAAGGTTTAGGTCAAGATATTTGACTTTTTGTGACAGATTTATTGCTTTCGATAAACATTGAAGAAAAAACTTTTGAAAAACTTCTAACGTATTAAACATTTTTTTGATCTTTTAGATATTATTGTAGTTGAGTCTTGAACAGCACGGGCGTAGGGGTGGTCACCCCCTGTCCAGTTGAAAATCTGCATGTAACTTTTGACTCCCTCAAAACTTAACCACTAACAGCCTACTCTTGACCAGAAGCCTTGCTGGTAGCATAAGCAGTCAATTACCACATGTTTTGTATGTTTTATGATTTATATACTGTATTCTTACAACAAAGTAAGTTAGAGAAAAGTTACTAAGAAAATCGTGAAGAAAAAAACACACTTACAATACTGTACTATATTTATGGAAAAAAAAAATCCACATCTAAGTGGACCTGTGGAGTTCAAACCCCGTGTTCAGGGTTCAACTGTATATTTATGTAGAAAATGTGTACCTATACCAAAAAAGTCATAAAAATATACCAGGTGAAACCTTTAGAAGTTTGAATTTCATTAATACCATTGTTACTTTGAGTAATATTTCTTGTTGAGCACTAATTCTAATGTATGTCCTACTCTCAACAGTTATTTCCTGAAATACTTGATGCTTTGGAAAGCCTTCAATCTCCTGCTATTTCTCTTAGCTTAATGAAACTGACAGCATGTCTAGAACGGGCTTTGGGTGATGTAAGTGTGAGAAGTCTTTCTTTGTTGGTTTAGTAAAGTATCTGAATGAACATAAAACTTTTACAGCTGTATTTAGATTTCTTGACTTTAATTACTGGTTTTCTATTAAATGTAATCATTTAACACAGATGTTTGTTTATTTATTTATTTTGAGAGTGAGAGAGAGAGAGAGAGTGAGCACGAACATGACTGGGGGAGGGGCAGACAGAGGGAGACACAGAATCCAAAGCAGGCTCTAGGCTCCAGGCTGTCAACACAGAGCCCCACGCGGGGCTCGAACTCACAAACCTTGAGACCGTGACCTGAGCTGAGGTCGGATGCCTAACCGACTGAGCCCCAGGCGCCCCATGACACAGATTTTTAATATTTTTCTTTTTGAATGATTATGGAATCAAACATTGATGTCTTCAGTGCTTTTCTCCCCTCATTTGCACAATCAGTGACTTTTGGGTGAGTTTTTTCTTCACATTTTTTGTCTCATAGTGGGACTGTAATACAATTCTTGTTTGATTTTTAGGTATTTTTACTGAATGGGAAGGAATGTCCTTTTCTTTTAAGAGATCTGCTTGCATCTAAGGAGCTTGCTCAGGTCTTTGGGCAGTCTGCGGTAAGTTTGTTCTTCTAAAACTGGGAGAGTAGGCACAACACAAAACAGTTCGTGTTAGCTACAGTTTTGTGCCTTAAAAATTGATGCTGCATTAGGAAAAAATTATGTCAATGATTAAATCGTACGTTCCTTTCCCACCGCCCCTTTCAAAATTGCCACTTTTCCGGCCACTTTTCCACCTCTCTCTCAGCCTGAGTCTCAGTGCGGTAGAATAGCCTCTGGTCGATGAGCCATAGTTGCTGAGCTGGGCGGTATTGTCCTCGGGCTGACAACCTGCAGTGTGGTGCCTCTGGTGTCGTGAGCCGTGGGGCCACCAGGTGGACAGCTGGAACTCTATTGTTTTCATTAATTTTATATTAAGAATTACAGTAACTTATTCTAGAATACAATTGTAACCATTTAAAGAGTGATATGCTCTTATCCTAAAATCTCAGTATTTAATGTGTGGGAATTTGGACCCTTTGCAACTGCTCAGACTTCAGGGTGAAAAAAAATTAGGTGCCAACTGAAAAACATGCAGAGCTATTTACTTTTTCAGAATCTTCTGCAGGCCATGTGACCCAAGTCGTTTAAGACTAATGAGTAACCGTTAGGCAACTGATGAGGCAGGGTCAGGGTGAAGGGGAGAGGCAGGGTAGCGTCCCGCAGAAAGTGGAGCCCACCAAGCCTGGAAGGTGTTTAAAGTGATCCTGTAACATGTTACAAGCTCTAATACATTATTTGGGGGTAAGAAATCTGTTTTCAGTAAAGCTCTCCCACTTTACAGTGGTTCCTTGTCGCTGAAAGATCATTTTCTTTAGTGGAGAATGTGAGGTAAAGAAAAGTACAAAAGTCTTGTTGTTACACTGAGTTCTGAAACAGATCCCATGGTCTGGGGCTGTGTCCTTGTCTGCCTGCAGCCATGCCCAGCGCCTTGAGGGTCCACCGGCTCGTTGGCTTGTGTGTTTCTGATGGCCCAGGTGGTGTGAACAATTCACTAAAGTCAGTATTAAGTTAAAAACGAATGTAGTGAAATGAATATCATCGTGATTACCGATATTAGATACGAATATTAAAGGAGTAAGGACCAATGTGAGCAGGAGGTGTCTGGAGTTGCACGGAAGAGCCAGTTTGCGGGTGAACCCCTCTTTATAACTCTCCGGCTCACCCTGCCTTTGAGAGAACGTGATGGTGGGTCTGTTTCCTCCTCCGCCAGGAGGCTTTCAGTCCTTTCCCGAGTCTTCTAGATGCTCACTCTTCTTTCTCGCGTGGCCCGCTTTTGAGTTGAGTGTCTGCATATCTTCCCTTTTTCCTGACTCTGTTCCCAAGCGTGGCGTTCCAAGCCCAGAGGCAGCCCACAGACGTGTGTGGCTCTTGCATTCTGATGAGCAGGAACCCCGTCAGGGGCATCTTGACCGTATGCGCGGAGGGACAGAGGCAGGTGAGGCTTCAGGTCAGACAGTGAGGTCGGGGAGGCCTGGGATGGGAGCCTCAGTCGTCTGGCCCCCTCACGGGGTCTGCTTCCTGGAGTTTACCGCGCGAACACACGCTACTTTCTGTGAGGTTTCTGTTCACCGGGTGGTTTTATTTGGTCTAGATAGGAGGCAGGCTCGATGTCCAGTAGGAAAGCTGCGGAGCTTGGGACAGATCCCATCCCCCTTTATAGTTCTGGGTTTCCCGAGGCCTTGGTTTCACCTCTCTATGCTGTACTTCTCATTTGCAGAGTGGGAATAATAGTCGTGCCTTCCCAGAGGTTGTTGGGAGCGTGAATGAGCAATAAATACGCACAAAATGTGTCTGATGTCTTACACGCCCAGTAAATGTTTGCGTGTTACTACTGTTACTGCTACTTCTGTTTAGCCAAAGCCCTGGGTCTGTTCTCAAGAAGAAAGCAAACCTCTTCCCACTGTATGTTACATCGGTTTGTCCAGTAGTTATGCAACCATTCAGTAATCTGCTGTTCCTAACCTGGTCAGATGGACGTACTGAAAGTCTTCCTTGGATCTCCACGCGGGCTCAATCTGCGTAACATCCTGTGGCATGGGTTTGCGTCCCCTCACGAAGTCCCTCCGAAGTACGTTGCTGATGAAGTCATTTTCTCGCTCCTTTAGTGCACTAAGAGTTTGTTTGTCTTGAATTTCCCATGAGTGTATTTTGGAAAAGATGAGAGTTTTGAAGCGGGAATTTGAAGATAAAACGGGGCGGATGAACACCTGGGGTGGTGACGGGGTTGGGACTCCGCTGCCATCCACCCCAAGGGCAGTTCTGAGGGTGGGCCTGACGGAAGCGGTGGGGTGCTCGGCCTCCTGGAGGGTGGCTCCCGAGTCTGCCAGGCTTTGGCTCCCCGCCCCCACCCCGCCTCCCGCCATTGCATTAGGTTAATCCCTGCCGCGAGGGGGACCTCCCTGCGATTTAATGATGGCTTGCTTTCTTAATTTTAAGCTTGTTCTTTGACAGTAGAGCTCTTTATGTGGATGGCGGTTCATTTTCTAACATGCTATGGTGTTGCACACTAGATACTGTTCGATGATGACGCTGTTGACAGCGGGCTTGGGTCAGCTGCTAAAGAGTTACTTGCGACAAACTGAATTCGCATTGGTGCACCGACCTTTCAGAGCTCTTCCAGACCTTGAGGATTTGGCCGTTTTCCCAGGCAAGTACTACGCTCCCCATTTGTCCTGGATGTGTCTTCTTCGTACAGATATGTATAAAGTCATTAAGTAGCACTGGGACTTGAACCCTGTAGGTGGACTGTTATGCTCCAGAGGCGAGATGCCTTCAAAAGTTGCATGAAGAACCTCTTAAATTTGCTACGTAAAACCTTCCCTGGGTACCTGGGGACTCAGTCGGGATCCGACTCTTGATTTCAGCTCAGGTCATGAATCACAGTTAGCGACGGAGCCCTGCATTAGCTCCGCGCTGACAGTGCGGAACCTGCTTGGGATTCTCTCCCTTCTCTCTCTGCCCCTCCCCTGCTCGTTCTCTGTCTCTCTCAAAATAAGTAAATGAATAAATAAACACTAAAAAAAAAAAAAAATGTGCCAGTGGAACCATGAAATGGATGTCTAATTCAAAAACAAACAAGAAACCTTCCCTCTTTCCATGGGTTGTGGTGGGGAGGCTGTGAGAGTCGTGGCTGCGTGAGTCAATTATGAGTTTATCCTCCGGGCGTGTTGATGCACAGGTGGCTCAGGACCGTTTTGAAACGTGCATTCCCTTCTCCTTTTAGCTCTTGTGCCTGTGTGCGCGTGCTCATTATGCCAAAAAGGCCAACAGCATAGATGGCCTCCTCCGTCTTCTTTTTTCTGTGGCAGAGCCGTTTACCAAATTAATGGGGGCAGGGGACACAAAACCTGGAAAGCACAGTTAACCATGTGTTTGCTCCAAGCCCGTTCCTCCCCCCTCCCCGGGGCTGTAGGGGTGTGGCAGCGGGGTCTCTGACGCGCGTCACGGGGCGCAGCCCAGATCTCTGCGGTCCTGGGTCCGGGGGTCCGGTCCGCGCCTTCGGTGCCGCGGACCGCTGGGTCCTCTGCTGACTGCCGATCGCGTGTGCTTCTTGAGACTTTAGTTGTGGAACGGTTTTGGGTTTAGAACAAAATAGATGGGGAGGTGCAGACACCCCCTCCCCCCCATCAGCATCCCACCAGAGGGCACATTTGTTCCCAAGGACCAGCCTACGTGTCCTCGTCATGCATAGTCCACTCCCGTTCTTCCGTCTTCCGAAAACGTATTTCACTTTTCTTGGTCAAGCGTGGTCAGCTGGTCCGCCCTGAACTCTTCTGCTCAAAAGTCGTCATAGCCTAAAACGCCAAGGGGACCCTTGTCCCTGTGCCCTTGCCCCAGGGTGTCCGCAGCCACCCACAGCCGGGCTCCAGTCTGCCGGTCTCACTCTTGGACAGCGTGTGCCGCTGCCCCAGGCCTGCTTCATCAGCCCGGACAGGTCGGTCATGGGCATCCCTCCGCGGTCTGGTTCTGTGTCTCTTCAGTTGATGAGTGTGACGGTACTTAAAAATACTTTTCTCTTAGGGCCTGGGTGGCTCAGTCGGTCAAACGACTGGCTCTATCTTGGCTTAAGTCGGGATCTCACGGTCTTGGGATCGGGCCTCCTGTTGGGCTCCGTGCTGACAGTGTGGAGCCTGCTGGGGGTTCCCTCTCCCCCTCTCCCCCTCTCCCCCACTCCCCCACTCCCCCTCTCCCCTTCTCCGCCTCTCCCTCTCTCCCTCCGTCTCTCCTTCTGCCCCTCCTGTGTGCATGTTCTCTTTCCAGGTCTCTCTAAATAAACATGTAAGAATACATGTTTGTTATTTTGCAGATATGACTTCTGAGGTACTTCCAGTGTTAGAAGAAGTGATGAAGAAATCCACTTTTATATTAAAAATCATGTTGCCGTACTGGGAAGAGGCGTTAATCAGGTTCGAGGCACACAGGTAAGTAACTGAGGGTGCGGACTCAGAGGTTCTTGATAGTCAGGAGGCTGGTCCCTCTTAAAACCCTTTACTGTCCATGTTTTCTGCTGCTGGAACGGAAGAGAGGTGGGGCTTCCTCCAGGAGGGTCGAGCACAAGATATCCTCTCACAGTGAGCGAAAAGGTAGCTGTAATTGGGTGTTAAACGCCTCGTGTTGTCCTTTTGGAACAGTCGACAGAGACAGTTCTTGTTCAGAGTCGACGGAGTTCTCACTCTGGGAGGGCCTCTTGTGGGTCCCCTGCTGGAGACAAGGGAGGGGAGAAGCCAGGCTGTTTCCTGAAGGCAGGGCAGAAGCGCTCCGGAGGCATGACCTCTGCTTCCCTCCGGTTCTGTCATTGTGTGTTCATTTGTACCCCGAGAACCCCCCAAAATCCTGGTACTTGTACCCCGAGAACCCCTGAAATCCTGGTACTTGAGTGTTTCTTACCAGCGATGGGAAGAATCAGGCCGACCCGTGATGACATGTCATTCTCCTGAAGCTTCTAAACGTGTTTCCTCTGATACACAAAAACAGCGGAAATGAGTTTAAAATCACCAGGCAAATGAGATTGCGTTTCGGTTTTATTGCTCGCGTTAGCGTGTCCTCTGCCCTCCAGGCTTTGAGCACACGAGGGTGACCTCTGGAATAAAGCGGCGTCACTTGGGGTTGGCGCCCGTGTTTGCTTTTAAAGCTCCGGGATTTGCTTGGTTACTTCTGTCTGCAGGTTTGCTGACTGTGCCGTGCTGTTACTGCCGCAGCTGGAGATGGGTCTCAGGAGAGTGTTTGCCGTCATTAACAAGTGTCCACAGAGACTTCTGACAGCTGAGGTACCTGTGCTTCGGTGATCCATGGGGGTGGTTGCTGCTGTATTGCCCGTTTTCTGGACTTGCTGACGTTTTGAATCTCTTCTTTTTGTTCACCATGAAACGAATTTTTTAGCTAAGAATTCTCTTTGGAAGGCTTGAGTGCCATTTTTTGTGGCTTCCTGTTATAACGATTTTAGAGGACTTAGGATTATCTGTGATCGTTTTTGATAGTAGTATTCCCAAGTATTTTAAACTCGGTGTCAGAGAAGTAGAAACCACTTACCTTGTCCCCATAGCCGTTATTATTGGTGTACCATTATAACCCCATGAGGTGGTCCGTGGCCTACAGCGTGGCCGTTCAAGGACACCGCTTCCTCTGGGCGGTGGCTTGGAGAGGTTTCTGGGTGGCCACATGCCCCGTTGACCGTCAGAGGATGCGGAGGGTAGAGGAAAGGAGGGGTCTGTATTGGGGGCCAGCGGCAGGGGCCGCTGGACCTGGCCTCTTCTTTCTTTGACCAGCTCAGCTTCCTCCATTTTGCCCCTTTCTAGAAACATCTGTCAAAATTCTGTTCTCAGCGTAGTGCTCCCGCATTTGCCCCCTGGGAGATCTTACTGCCACGTCTTCAGCTGCCTTACCTCTGCGGGAAGAACGATTAGAGAATACTTTGGATCTAATGAAAATGAAAGCCAGCGTACACAGCATTGTGGATGTAGCCAGAGCAGTGCCAGGACGGAAGTTTCTAGCATGGGCCGCAGTGCCCCCCAAGGAAGCGCTCTGCCCTACTTCCCGGGTCAGGTGTACACGTGTTCACCAAACGCTTTCGTAGGGGTTTTCCCCAGCGTCTCAAACTACCATACTTCTGAAAAGCTTGTTTTCTCTCCCACAGATTTGTTCTCTGGTATTCCCTGTTGTCCTCCTTCGCTTGGTCACTTCGCAGTGGCCTTCCGCACCACCCCGGCCACTCAGTTCCCGGCCCTGCCCGTCTGTCCTGCCCCTGATTCCTCCTGGGTCCCTCCTTTCCAGTGCTGAGGCCTCGTCTGGCTCCCCTCCCAGTGCTCTTTATGACTCTGATCCTTCTCTCACCCTACCGCAAGTTGTTTTACACACTGATGAATATTCTTCTGTCTTTTATGGTCTCATCTGCATAAAACTTGTTAGCGGCACCCCGGTGCCTGCAGCGAGTGTTGTCCTCCCGTGTGGTGTGCTGGGGCCTCCGTGCGGCCCAGCGTTCCCGTGGCTTGTCTCCTGTCCCAGTTCCTCCGGCTTAATTGAGGCCTCTCCCCGGTTCCGGAACATGTGTGTGTCTCCTAGGGCTGTGCCCACCGTCCCCTGCCTGACCACTTCAGGCCGCATCAGTGACCCCCAGAGCCTCATCCACGCAGACTCTCCAGCTTCGCTCCTCTGCGTCCTGTTTCTGTTTTATCTCGAGGCTGTTCTGCTTTGCCTTCTGTGCATTTGTGTACAGTTTCTGGTGCAGGTTCCTCAGGAGCGGAAGGTTCACATTTGTGCCCCTGGTGCCCACGCCCGGTGCCTTTCACGTTGGCTCTGCCCAGGGCAGTGCCGGGCACTGTTGTGGGGCATCTGCCTTCTGGAAGAAAGAGCTAGAACCCCCGTTTGTCAGAGCTCTCACTCGAGCACCGCTGGGCTTTCTTCATGGCAGCGTGCTCACCGCTATGCGGTTTAAACACGTCCGGCTATTGTTATTTGACCACACAAATAAAAAGAAGACTGTTTCCACGGAGGAAGTAATTGATCAAAGAATATCTTAAATTGTCGCCCAGGCTCTTGTTCAGAATAAACATAGCATCAGTTTATTCATAAGGCAATGCACACGCGAAAAGACTCTATAAAGCCATAAAGTGCTGTGCACACGCTATTATTTACTGAATACTTACAGCATAAGGTCTCTGAGAGTGGTGGCAGATAGGAAGAAAATGAGTGAGACTTTGTGTCTTCTAAGAAGCTTATGTGTTTAGGGGTGACAGGTAAGCCATTTGTACCAATTCTGTAAAACAAGGTAGAAGTTAATGTGTGCAGTTTATGGGGATAAATGAGCAGTTCAGCTTTTATGAGGAAGTGGTCGGGGGGTCTTGAGTAGGCAGTCGGATGTTTAGAAGAGTGCTTAGAGAAATTTTAGGGTCAGTGGTATAGGTTTGGGAGTGAAGGATACAGACTTCGTAATCCTCTATATCATAAACGTCGGAGGTAATTTCATAATGTTAGATTGGAAATACATTAATAAGCGTTAACAGATGAGACACTTTTCTTGAGAGCTGGTTCCCACAAGATACCGATTGCATCACAGCGTGTGTAAAATCTTCCCGAATTCCCCAGCAGCCTTTTGAGACAGGAGTTGCTCATGTCCCGATTTGCAGAGAAGCCCACGTGTGGAGGTGCCCTGGGCTTCCCTTCCGGGGAGGGTGGAAGCTGGGCTTATGTGTTGGGGCAGCGGCTCCGGAGCCTGTGCGTGTAAACAGTAGTGGTTACACCAGGAAGCACGCAAAACACGGCTGCTCGTTGGAGGGCACGTTGAGTTGTGCTCTCCTGCCCGCGAAGACGAGCCACCGGCCGAGATCGTGTGTGTGAGTCGTGCTTTGTGAGGCGACGGGAGGTTTCTGACCCAGAGTGCTGTGGGAGTGGTGTCTTCACGTGGCCCCGTGCCTCTCAAGCTGTTACGTTGTGCCTCTCAAGCTGTTACGTCATACAGGACAGCCTTTCGTGCTGTTACGTTGCATAGGACATTCTACCCAAAGCGTTGCCAGATAATTTTTGGAAGAAGTTTTCGTGTTTGTGGCCATGTACTGGAATTTTTTTCCTGCTTTGAATAACGTTACTGTACTCACATTTTGCTTTAATTATTTCTTTTCTTTCCTTTTCTCAAGTCAACAGCTCTTTATACCACCTTCGATGAAGTAAGTAAACTTACAGGATATCTTGAAACAAACAAAACATTATTGTCTGTTACACAGGAAAATGTTGGTAGTCATATATGCCAAAAAAAAAAGCCACATCACCCTTATTATAGAGTTAAGTATAGTCTTCCAGACTGATTTTGAGATCCAGTATCATTAACCTTGTTTCTCGAGTTATAGAAGGACACATATTGGAAAATGTCAAGAGATATTAATATTATATTCTGTAATTATTTGGAGGTTTTATTTATTTACTTATTTATTCATTTATTGATTTACTTGTTTATTTATTATGTTTATTTTTGAAAGAGAGAACGTGAGCAGGGGAGGGGCAGAGAGAGAGATAGAGAGGGAGACCCAGAATGCAAAGCAGGCTTCAGACTCTGAGCTGTTGTAAGCACAGAGCCCGACGCGGGGCTTGAATGCACAAACCATGAGATCATGACCTGAGCCAAGTCAGTCGCTCAACCGACTGAGTCACCCAGGTGCCCCTGGAGGTTACACTTTAGATTTAAGATTGACACTTGCTTATTTTGCAAATGAAATATAAGTGAACTACCTCTGTGTGTGTACAATATACACTTAGGCATTTATTCTGTGACTTGGATGTGTGATTCTGAATGTGAAAATCTGGAATAGTAAAAATTACCATTGAAAATACCTTTTATCACTTTATAGTATAGAGGGTTTTGTGTGGGTAGCAAATGATTGTTATCTAGCTTGAAGTATGATTCAGAGTTAGCCTACAGGAGGAAACAAAGGGAGAGTGTCTGTGGAGAGATTTGAGTGTTCAGATTACTTCGCCTTTAAGAGAACTCTTAGATTCCTTAAGTGAATGGGTGGGTGGGATTAAACTGTGTGCCAGTTTACCTGCAAACTTTATTCCATTAGGTAAATAATTTGCTGTGGTTTAAATATATGATGCATTTGATACTGTGAAGATTGAAATAGATAGTGTAGTCCTATCTGTATAGGATTAGGTCCTATATAGGAGTGGATTGGGTGGCTGGGTTCCAAAGTCTGGTGAATTAAGAAGTGGCCTTTGAAGTAACTCTGATGGATGCTTCTGTACACATCCACATATACGCACACTTATGCATATGAATGCAACGTGAACACACACATAAATATACATAAACACACACACACATAGAAGTATGTACATACACACAGACACATTTATAAACACAGGTGCACACGTGCATATACGTATGTACATAGATCTGTATAAACATATACAGATAAATGCAAACACATGTGCTCATATATACACAAATACATAAACACACATGTAGACATATGCATATACATGTAAATACATATCAACACATGTACGTACAAAACACATACACATGTACCCATACATACAAATACGCATAGATGTACACACATGTATAAATACATGCATCACATATATATGTTATCACACATATGCATATAAATACACGTAAACACGCATATACTCACACAGTTAAGATATATATACATTCATATCTATTCCTAAAGTCATTATGCTGGTTAAGAAAAGCTTTCTTTAACGGGTGGCTGCCATGTTTTTAAGACTTTCCTTGTTACATTTAACTTGCTTTGTGCTTACGTAGCATGTCGTACCAACGATACATCTCCTTGGATGCTGAAGGTACTGTGTGTGTGTGTGTGTGTGTGTGTGTGTGTGTGTGTGTACTAATTAATCCATATATTTATTTTTGGTCTTTTAGATATTGGCAAAGCACTTGAATGATGGTAAACTCAATCAACTTCCTCTTTTCCTTGGAGAGCCTGCAATGGTAAAATTCTAGGCCTTTTCTGATCCAATATTCTTATATTTATGGGTGTGATTAGCACTTCTCCAAAGTGAAGTTAATTTTGACCTGTGACGTGCTCCCCAAAGTGCTTCTGAGCCACTCCTGCGCTGTGTCAACTTGACACGTGTCACAGACACTTGCTAGGCTGTGACTGCAGCTCCGGGGCCTGGCTTCTGGCTGGTTATCTAAGACCCGCTTTCCAAAGTATATTTGGGTCTGTTGTGTGGTGTGGGCTGCTGGGGGAGCCAGGTTTGCCTTGTGAACAGCGGCAGAAGTCAGGTGTGACTAGTGAGTGTGCGAGTGTGCATGTTGGAAGAGGACAGAGAATTATGTAGAGCCATTTCCTGTTACCAATTTCTTTTTTTTTTTTTTTCTTTATGAAGATACTATAGTAGCTACTTTGGACTGTAAGTAGAATTTTTTATTCCTTTTTTTAACTTAAAAAATGTTTATGTTTGAGAAAGAGAGTGCAAGCAAGGGAGAGACAGAGAGAGTGGGAGACAGAGGACCCACTCTGCTGCCAGCGCAGAGCCCAGCGTGGGGCTCGAACCCACGAACTGTGAGATCCTGATCTGAGCTGAAGTCGGACGCTTAACCGACTGAGCCACTGGGCGCCCCTGTATTTGTTCCTTTAACTGAGAGTTTTGCAGCCTGGATTCTAGTCCCTGTGGGACATTAGTGAGACTCTGTGTGCTCTTGGGGCGTCATTTCTGCCGTCAGGACATTAGGATGATTGAGCTAGTTTATCCGCCATTTGTTTCCATCCTCAATCTTTGTGACTCTTCCGTCCACTGGCAGTTTTTTGTCTTTCTGTGTCCCCGCCCCCGCCGGTGCTATTGAGAAAGAAGCTGCTGTCTTAATCAGGCTTCATGGAGGAGGAGGCCATGATGGGAGAGAGGGCGCTGGGAGAGAGCGGCCCCAGGCGGGGGGGAAGTGGGGGCTGTATTCACGGGGGGACAGCGGTGCTTGCTCTGTGGAAGGCAAATTCGCTTCCAGGTGTGGACGCCTCAGCCCCTTGGCTCAGGGCCGACAGGAGTGAGACGCGGCGGGGGGGGGCCTACGGCGCTGGAGCTGGCCTCTTGTCGCTGTGGCCAGGCAGCCGGGCCACGGGCAGAGTTAGAGGCCCGGGGGCTCCCAGCCGGAGGCCCGCACGTACCTGGGCACCACTAGCGAGGACTCCAGTCTGTAAGCTTGGTTTTCTTGTCTCTGCAAGCCAGTGCTGCTGCTCCGTGACCGTCAGGATGGTCCGTCCGGAGCCTCGGTGCTTTCCTTCCCTTGGTTGAGAAAGCCGACAAAGTCTCTTCTGTTCATTTTCCCGAAGGAGTTTCTTTGGGATTTCCTGAACCATCAGGAGGGTCCTCGTGTAAGAGACCATCTGAGCCACGGGGAGATCAACTTCCCCGAATTTCCAAAAGAAGCGGCGAACCAATTGCTTGCATTTTCCACCGTGCTTTTACTCCGATTCGTCGACGAAGGCCTGTTGTCAGTGCTTAAGGTAACGTACAGGGAGAAAACCGGGAGATTCACGGTTACTCGGCTGTGAAAGAGTAGTTTGTTCTCACATGTCATTCGGCCTTAATCATCTTTTGTGGAAACGCATCTGAGTTACAGTATGCCTCCAGCAGAACCGACACTTGTGACCTGATTACAGTTGCGTTGCGTTTGCCGCAACAAGTAGGTGAGCATCATGTAATCTAAAGTAATTTAACCTAATTCTTAAAAACGTATTTTCAATGGATAAATGTGGAGTGTGTATGTACAATGGAAAATTACTCAGCCATCAAAAAGAATGAAGTCTAGCCATTTGCAACTACGTGGATGGAACTGGAGGGTATTATGCTAAGCGAAATTAGTCAGAGAAAGACAAGTATCATACAACTTCACTCATGAGGGCTTTAAGACACAGAACAGACGAACACGAGGAAAGGGAAACAAAAATAATATAAAAACAGGAAGGGGGACAAAACAGAAGAGACTCTTAAATATAGGGAACAAACAGGATTGCTGGGAGTGGGTGGGGGGGATGGGCTAGATGGGGGATGGGCATTAAGGAGGGCACTTGGGATGAGCACGGGGTGTTACACATAGGGGATGAATCACTGGGATTTACTCCCGAAATCATTATTGCACTGTATGCTAACTAACTTGGATGCACGTTAAAAAAAAAAATGTATGCTTCACAGATACTACAAACCAGACAAGTGTAAATGGGATTAACTAAATCAGAAAATTTTACAAACGACTCAAATCGATGGGGCAGAATATTTGCATCTATCAATAAACTATAATTCTTATTTTAAAACAATTTGGGTTATTCTTATTTTAATCCTGTTTCAAATCATACATGTAACAGTTACTGTAAAAATTGTCTGAAAAGTTCCACCAAGATGGAAAGACTGACGTGAGAAGGCACTGAGGCAGGCCTTCTCCTGAGGGGACCACTGTTAGCACGTGCTGTCTGTGTCTTTCCACGAGCACAGCAGCGTGGCTCGTTGTGCAGACACGTTCTGTTCCGTAGCTAGCATTTTCACGAACAGTGTGTTACCTTATTTTTATCTGCGACTTGACATTCCATTTGTATCAGTATGCCCTTATTTACGTAAGTCGTCCTTCACTGACGGCTGAATTCTAATTTTCCCTCGTGGGGAACGCTCCTAATTATAATGTCTGAAGGAGACTGTTCATTTGGACACTTGTGTAAGTGACTTTATGAAAGTGAAGTTCTGAAGCAGAAGGTACTGGCGAGACTTTGTTTTTATCTTCTTGTATTTGGGGGGTGACTTGGCTATCTTTTCTTGTGGCTGTTGGAAGTGTGTAGTTCTTTTGTGAACTGTTAATGTTTTTTTCCACTTTGTGCTTCTCCCCACTGGTTTATTAGCCGTGTGCACCTTCTCCAGTGTGTCTGTTGCTGCCTACTTCAGTTTTGAGGTTTTTTTCATTTTGGTTTATGCATTTGGAATTATTCTTAAAAAATCCTTTGCTTTCCAAAATTATAAACATATTTACGCATTTCCCTAGTAACTTTACAGCCCCCCCCCCCCCATGTAGGTCTTTTGATCCAGCTGGAACTTACTTCTTCTGGGAGTGAGAGAATCTAGATTTACTTGTTTTTGTTTTTTGTTTTCTTGGCCCTTTTTCTTTGACAAGTCACTTCCAAGGTGGCCCAGCAGCATTTAGGAGACGGCATCTCTGTGCTGTGTGCAGTGGCCTTGGTCTTGGGTGCTCGGGGTGTATCTGTACTGACCTTCGTGATGGAGCTGAGCATCTGTAGGGTTACTTTCCCATCTGTCTTACCTTGTAGAGTTTCCCTGCCTCCTCTCTACTTAGTATTGCAGCCAAACTTGTGTAATTACACAATAAACACAAAGCCTAAGACTAACCAGGCAACAAACAGGAATGAGATGATGGGTTAACGTAGGGATATTTGATGTTTTTTTATAATAGTGAACATTATTCCCCAACGCGGTGTCTCCACGTCCTCGGCCTCCCCTCCCCGAGCCTCCCCCGAGTGTCAGTGCCATCCCAAGGCCAGAGTCCTCTCTCTGCATGACCGCACGCCGTGTTCCGTCCTCCACCCTAGTGTATGTCCCGACGCGTTTCTCCCTGCACCGTGTGCACCTGCTGGGCTGAGCTGCTCCCCCGCCCCCCGCCTACCCTCCACCTGCCCTCCCCGCGATGGCCCCTCTGTTCTCTTGTCTGCACGGCTGCCAGATCGATCCTCCACACGCCCCCTCCTCGCGTCCACCGCCCTCCCGCTGCCGCGTCCCCTCTGAGGAGAAGCCGTGTGCTCTGGCGACTGCCGGGCCCCAGGGCCTCTGTGGCTCATCACTGATCTTTCCACGTGGGAATCGTGGCTGTCCGTGGGTCTTGTGCACGTGGCCCAGAACTCCATCAGCTGCGTGTAGGACTTGGGTCTTCGAGCGAATGACAGGGTCAGCCTATTTCTTCACGTAACTTACGTCTGGCGACTAACTTGGCGACTTGCTTTGTGCCGTTGAGAGTTCTGGGTAGTTAGAGCTTCTGTGCGGGGAAGCTGTTCGTCGATTATTGGTGTGTTAAATTAGTCAGCAGGCGATTCACTGACTTGTTTCTGATGGTTTTTAGCCAGCCAGCTTGGAGTTTCAGGTTACACGGTTACGTCAGCCGTAAATCATGTCATTTTACTATTTTCTTCAATGTTTATGTGTTTAGTAATTAAGTATTCATAGTGACATAACTTGTGGTTGTGCTGATTTTTAATGTCTAGATTCTCATTCTGGTTTCTTATGAGAAGTTCTTACGTTCCCAGTTGTTTGTTTGGAATCGTTTCTTCTTTCTCACTTATTCCTAGCGTCCTTGATCGTGGACAAAGGGCAGACATGGCCTTTGTTATTTATCATTGTTAATTGGCTTCATTTAAAAAAATCGTGTTGGTTATGGTTGGCTGCCTCGAACCTGTTTTAATGAAGAGCCTTGCTCTGTTACAGCTGAGTGGGATTCTGTGAAGGAAGGTAATGGGAAATTGGGACTCCCGTGTGATTAGCATTCGGCAGAAGAAAAGTACAGGCCTGACCAGACGTCATCCTAACCGCGGTCTGTTTTCTCTGAACCAGGAAAAGGCGGCGATAAGGTCACTGGTCGGTCTCGCCGAAAACTACCGTGCTCACGTCCACCCGGTGGCTCAGCTGAGAAAACAGGTGAGTCGCGCGCAGGCCTCCGGGAGGGGCGCACGCGCGGGCCCCCGCAGCGGAGCCTTTGTGGGCCCCAGGTGGCTCCGTCCTCTGAACCTCCTGTCCCGCTTCCGGCACTTTAAGTCATGGGAGCGTTTGTTTCTTCAGGTGTTTTTAGTACCTGATGCGTGGTGGTTGGATCATCGTGGGGCCCCGGTGGGCTCTTGTCATTATTATTGCCTTTGACTCAGGACCACTGACGCTCTTTGTCCGTCGGTGGCGAAGAATGGCCATGTTCCTTTAACCACATGAGACCAGCTTTTGTCCGCTCCTAAATTAAAGCAAGCAAAGCACAAACCTGAGAGCGGTTCCGCCGGGAAGTTCCGGTGTGGAAACTGGCTTCGGCACTTTACCTCAGGCACACGTAGGGGGATAGGAATGTGGCACGAGGGGCAAGAACGGGGTCGCCTCCGAGAACATCATGATCGTGACAGTTGCTGACTTAGAGATTCATCGGTGAGATTGGCCTCTCAATGGAAGCTATAAAATCCGCACGTGAGGGGTTTAGGGAGAGATTTGCAGTGGCAGCTGGAGGGAACTCTATCCACCGATTCGTGACGTCCCCAGAGAATAGCGTCACTTCCGAGGGGCTGTCGGCAGTCGACGTGAGGGGTGCTCTACCATGCTGGGGCCACGTGAGAGAATTCAGCCCGAATAGCTGGGTCCGGCGGGTTCTAGTTTGGCGGCGAGACGTCGGGCTGACATAGCCGCACCGCCCACTTAGCCTGTCCGTCGTGGCTCTGAGCGTCCCAACAAGAGTCACTGGCAGGGAGGCCGCCAGAAGCTGCCTGCGGGACTCCACACGCACAGACGGGAGGGAGGGAGGTCCCGGAAGGAGGAGAGGCCTCAGGAAGGCAGGCTTTGTCCGTGGGCCTCCGCGGCTGAATCTCCAGCCCCACGAGGCCCCCTTGCTCCTTGGCTGCTGCTTCCGTGGCCCCTCCGTGCCCCACAGTGGGTGTTTCAGATGATCACCCTTTCCTGCAGCCTCTTATTCCTGCTGTCCGTTGTTTATCCGTTTTTCATTAGGCAGTCTCGTATCCTGTCCCTTGTAGGGTCATTGCTTGCTTATTATTGCCGCATAAATTACCCACATTCAGTGGTGTCAACAGCAGTGTTTAACATGCTTCCACTTTCATGCATCAGAAGTCTGGGCTCCGCCGGCTCGGTGTTCCGTGTGAGGGGATGAGAAGTTGGTGCAGGGCTTCCCGATTGCTGGCTTCCCCAGGAGAGGCCCAGCCCTCTGTGACCTGTCGTCCAGAGTCACACAGCCTAACTTCTGCTGTGTTGTCTGGGTGAAGGCCACCCACTACAGCGAGTCCTGACTCGGCGATGGAGGACAATTGTCGACCTCGGCTCTCAAACGAGAGGCGCCAAAAGACTTGGGGATAAGTTTTACAGCTAGTCCAGGTGTTAACTACCTTCCGATCCCCTGTTGACTTCACCGGCCTTCCCTTATCTGATTCTATTGAATAGCCAAGCCCTGCCATCTAGTTTTAAAATGTAAGATCTGTAACAATTTTACCAACATGCATCTTCCGGAACGCTGTTGGTTGCTACGTCTGTAGCAGTTTGCAGACGTGTTTTCCAGGCCGTTCTATAAAAGCTTTAAGGGCAATAGGGTATTTTCCTTGCAGGTGCTGAGCTGTGAGAAGAGCCTCGGGGCTTGGCCCCTCCTGTCTTTGCCCGCAGAAGCCGAGGAGGCTGCCAGGTGAGTTCTATCCTGGGGCCCGGCGAACGCCAGCCTCGAGAGGTGTGCTGGCCGAGTGCGGGGAGGGGGTGGGGAGGTGGGGTGTGTGTGCTCGGGGGATCACCGAGTGCGGGGGTGGGTGGAGGGGACGATGACCGAGTGCTGGGCGGGGGGGTGACGTGGGGGGAGGGGGAACGACCGAGTGCGGGGCGGGTCAGAGTGAGCCTCGGTCTCTGCACGGGGGTGGGGGGAGGGGGCCGGGCCGGGCGGTGAGGGAGGAGGGTGGTGTCCACTAGCGAGACTTGGTGGTGAGAAGCGGGGTCTGAAGCTGAGGAGAGAGCCGGGGGTGGAGAGGTCGCTTGGAGTCAGGATGTAGCAGGTCCCAGGTTCTCCTGGAGGACTCATGGGTGACCTGTCCCTTTTGTGAGCAGTCGTACTGTGCTCGTACCACTGCCTCGACGGAGCCTGTTTTCTTTGATGTCTGGGGAAACTAAGTTGCAGATGAAGTGCTTTGCTCAGTGAACCACTGAAATAATCATCGCGCATGGGCACCGATTGGCATTTAATCGTCGTCCTGTATCTTTAAATATTCTGTCTTTCAGATTAGAAGGTCATTCTGAGACCAATGCCTGCAACTCTTTACTTACAGAAATCATGTCTGAGCTGTGTCACCACCTGCCTGAGGATCACCGTGTCGCTAGGGGCTTGGACAGCCTTCCTGCTGAGAAGTAAGCGTCTGGGAGTTGTTGAATCGTGGTCACAGACTCCGCCGTTGTGTGTGTCTCCAACTGGGCGAGCTTGTGGCGGCATCAGATCCCACGGTGGTTGTGCCGCCAGGGGAGCGGGGAGATGAGCCTCGACGGGCTTGTGCGCGTGCGCTGTGCCTGACGAGCCGGCCCTGTGCCCCGTCCCCCCCCAGTCCAGCATGTGTGTCGCCTGCCGTGTGTCATGTTGGCCTAGGCACGGTGCACGACTGGCCACGCTCTCCGGAAGCTGACCTTCCAGGGAACCCGGGCGGCGCACGTGCCCCATGAGAACTCACGCTCTAATCCCCAGGTGGCCCCAGGTGATCCGTGAACTCTGCGGCACCCCCGTGCCAACTCTGTTCTGTCCCAGAACCGTTCTGGAAGTGCTCACTGTCCTCCGAAACATCACAGCACACTGTGCCCGCGTGTCCAGCCAGGTCGCTGCCTCCGCGGAGCTCAGACAGCAGCAGTGGGTGGAACGGAGGCTGCGCTCCCGGCAGAGACAGACGTATCTGCACATGCTGAGTAGGTGTGTGGCTCGCCGTCCCGGGTCCCTGTTGGGCAGGAGTTCTCTCGGGATGCGGTTCCGATGCTTTTTCAGAAAGTTCTGGCACATGTGATTTTAAACACTATTGCAATTTGGGCATATGAGAATATGGGTGTTACCAACCCGAAAGAATATTCGGATTTTAAATATTAACAGCAGGTCAACCTGGGTGCGTCTGCCTTCTGGTGTCTTCACCTGTGTGTATTTCAGGACGTGTTCCATCCTTAGGAAATTACAATTTTGGACAGATTACTAGAGCTTTGGGTTGAGTGGCATTTGTGTCTCGAACACTTTTAACAGGTGTTCCCTGGCTGCTTCTGAAAGGTAACACGCAGTTACACTCTTAGCAGCAGTCTGTAAGGTGGCTGTTATATGTACATCCTTCCCCAAATGGTGTATTTGAGAAAATGCTCTTCCAGTCTCACGGGCAAGATAGTATCTTACTTTGATTGTAGTATCTTTGAGTCCTGGAGACGTTGCACATGTCTTCACGTTACAGCCATAGGCGTATTTATTCTTGTGAGAGTCCTTTGCCAAACATCAGACTAGAAGTAAGATGCTGGCTGGTGGCACAAAGACTCAGGGCCGGTGGAAGTACGGGGTGTGGAGCCTGCTAGCAAGTCCTGCTCCTGGGCAGCTGGCCACCGTACTGCTGGGGACCAGCCTCCTGAGAGGCTGCTCCTGAGGGGGGGGGGCGGGGCGGGCAGGTGGCGGCAGCAAAGGGGTGGGGGGGGGCACACGGGGAAACTGCCACAGAGGCAGCCTCCTCTTGAGAAGTTTGCATTTCAGTTCCCTTGAAAAGAAAAAACTATTGAAAAAGGGTTTGCATTCATGAAAGTGAAAAATACTTTCGTTTGTCAAATTTTAACTGTTTGTTGTCTGTTTTTAGTATTAAGCTTCTGTCTCCTGTGCTTTACCTGATTTTACTGCTGATTGCGCTGGAATTGGTCAACATTCATGTGGTTCGTGGAAAAAATACTTGCGAATATCAACAGTATCTAAAGTAAGTATGTCCTGCCTATGAGAAATGAAACTATGTCTTGGTAATTGTCAGCAATTTTCACTTCTATTGGTTATTTTCCTTGATACATTTTTTTGAAACCCCCCAGTCTTGGTTGGCTCTTCGCCATTTTTCTCTGCGGACTTTGGGGCAAGTTTGTGAACCTTTCAAACTAACACCGTGTAGGCTCACTTCAGAAAATTTATGTGACGCACTTGTGAGCGCTTTCAGAATTCCTCACTCTGTGTAGTGACGCCACCCAGGGATGGGTATTGCTGCTAGTTGGGAGGTAACGCGTACCTCGTGTTTACGACGGACACGAGGGGTGCCCGGGTGGCTCGGCTGAGCGTGCGACCGCGGCCCAGGTCATGATCTCACGGTTCGTGAGTTCGAGCCCCACGGCGGGCGCTCTGCTGTCAGCGTGGAGCCTGCTTCGGGTCTTCTGTTCTCCTCTCTGTCTGCCTCTCCTCTCCTTGTTCTGCCTCTCTGTCTCTTTCAGAATAAATAACTAAACTTAAAAAATTAAAAAAAAAAATGATCACGAAAACATGACCGACGTTTTCTTAAAGAATCACGGAACCCAAGTGGGAACAAGGGCAGCGAACTGGCAGAATGTTAATGACTGGTGGCTTTAGCACTGCTGATGCTCTGGGCTGGGGGGGTCCTCTGCGGTGGCTGTGTGGATACGCAGGGCGGGAGCGGCGCCCCGGGATAGCCATAAGTGGCGTAGACATCCCCAGATACAGTGTCCTCCCCAACTGAGAACCACTCTCTAGATGAAGCATCTGTGGATTTTTAGTGCATTATTCTTTTAACTTCCAAGTTTGAAAATACTTGGAGTTAGACTCTGGAGAACATCTTAGACTACTTGGCAGACTGGAGAGAACTTGGAAAATACAAGCGTGACTGATTCCTCTCAGTCGGGAGGAGGCATGTGGACAGTTTGGTGAATGCATGTCAGCAGTGCTGCCACAGCAGAAGGTGTCCCACGAGGCGGTGCAGCTATAGGGCTCGTCGCGAGGGCAGGCGCCGGGTGCACAGGAGCCCAGGACCGAGAGCAGCCCGCATGCGGGGCCCCGAGGCTCGCCTGTTCCCCATTAACGTGCGTGTGTGTTTATCACGTGGCATTTAATCCATGTGGACTCTAACACCCTTTCTGGAACTCAGTTCTGTCTCCTAAAACCATTTCACCGGAGCTGAGAGTAAGTTTGAAAAGGCCCCCGGGTGTGTAAAACTCGCGGGAGTCCAGCCCCCTCTCCAATCGGGAGGCGTCTCGGCATCTCCCTCTGACTCCTGTGCTCCTGTTTCCGTTCTGCATGTACTTCTCTCTCTCGAGTTTGCAGACAGAAATTAAGTCCAATAGTTTGGATCCCAAAAGGAAGAGAGTGCATTTAAATCATTGGGGCATTCTATGATAGAATAAAGGAGTTCATTTCTTTTTATTAAAACAGGTTCTTAAAGTCGATCTTGCAGTACACGGAGAACCTGGTGGTTTACACCAGCCAAGAGAGGAACAAGTGGAATGAAGCGATCGTTCTCACGCGTACAGCTCTGTTGAAAATTTGGACTTTCAGTGAGAAGAAACAGATGTTAATACATTTAGCCAGCAAATCCACAAGTAAAGGGGTTCTGTGAAAGCACTTACAGGTCAAGATGCTTTGGGCGACATCCAGAAACCCAGTCCACACAGGCTTTATTTACCTGCATGGAAATTGAAAATCCAAAGGTAGGGTGGTTTCCAGGGTCTGTTTGATCAGGGATCCAATTCCGTTTCTCTGCGGTTTTCTGATTTGCTGTTCCTGAGTCGGTGTGAACCTCAGGCTGGGTCCCATCCCGAAATCAAGTGGCCACGGCAGTCTGGTGCCCCCCCCCCCCCCGCCATGACACAGTGTCCAGGGGCAGGGGTGCTTTTCACCCCATGTCACCCAGAGAACTCTTGAAAACTGTCACTGTGGCCGGGACCCTGCCACCGTCTGTACTCACTGGCCAAGCTGTGTAGGTGTCTAGTCCTGAGCAACCACCGGGACACAGAGAGCGAGCTTGGGCCAGTCTGGCCTCATCCCCGGAGCTGGGAGTGAGGTTGGACGATCCAGGTCCCATGGGAAGGATCAGGAGGAACAGCTCCTGGGAGGTACGCCAGGCAGATGTGGGCGCCGGGCAGCACGTGGCTGGGAGAGCAGGAGCCCAGGCACGTGTCAGGGTAAGGAGAGTCCCATGCAGGAGCAGGGAGAGCCGGAGGGGTGAGGGACAGGGTGCAGCCACCTCAGTCCAGCCCAGAGAGCCACGGTCTGCGCTTCTCCAGGGCTCCCTGTGCCGCTGCAGCTGTCTGACCGTCTGTCTCAGGTGGCAGCCGCAAAGCCAGCAGCTGTCAGGGCCCCCGTGAGGCTGTCCGGACCCCAGGTCTGCATGTGCGCTAGGCCACGTACAGTGAACTGTGGCCTCCTCTCTGCTTTGCAAACCTGGCCGGCAGGTTCTAACCCACAGCCCTCCAAGGAAGGACATCCAGCACGTGCGTTTCTGGCTTCTTTGCTGTCGGAGAACAGTGTCGAGGGATGGTGCTGTGGGATGACAAACATTCTGGCACATTCCGTCCATCCCTTTGCCAACTCCGTACCCGCCACACCTTTTTTAAACTAAACTCCTGGGTGAAGGCAGAGCACCGAGCTTCTGCCCCTGTGAAGCATCCTTGCTGTTTGCAAGTGTAGACCCCGAATCCCACAAGTCCCCGTTTCTGTTCCTGGGACGTGTTCTTTGGCAGGTGGTCACAACCTCCCTTGGCCAGATTCTAAGGGACGATTTGTAGGAGTAACCACTCTTAACCCTGCTGATGTTGGAGCTGGACCGGAAAAGGGCAGACAAGAGAACCCATATACTTACCAAACCTGCGAAGGAATAGGTGGGGCCTGTGCACCTGGTGATCTGCAGAAGTTGGTATTAAAAATCCCCTTTTCTCCAGCACATTCCGTGTTCCTCTGCCCTTAGCCACTTACCTGGTAGGGTGGCCCAGGCTGCTTTCCCGAAGGGTTTCTCTCCAGTCTTTCCGGTTTTGCCAACTAGTTTCCCACCAGCTCTGGTCCCTGGACGTGGGAATACTCGGAGGTTCCCCAGATGACCCCTCGATTCCAGACACACTCGTCCCTGCTCCCCTGTCTGGCAGCACGCCTGTCCCTAAGCGAGTGAGGAGCAGTCGCCCACACCGTCACGGTCAACCCCTCTTGGCCTTTTTGTTTATTGACACGAGGCATCCGGGGAGACGGGCGGCCTCTCAGCCTGCAGGCCAGTGGGGCACCCGTGTCCCTCTGTGGAAGCTTCTCAGGAACCTTCCAGCCAGCACAGTCCGGAATTACGAGACAGGCTAGTGGCTCAGGGACTGTAAGGAGAGGAACCGTTCCCATCGCTCGTGCTTCCGCCACCTGTGTGCTGGCAGCGAGACGCGCTGTAAGCTGAGTGGCGGTTCGGGGCATGAGGCCCATCTGGGGGGACAGCAGCCCCACGAGGCACGGCTGCCAGCCAGTGTAGATGCGTCGGTCCCCCGCCACATCCTCCAGCTGGCCACTTCGGAGCGCGCGGCGGGTGTGGTCCATGGGCCTCCTTGCTGGGCTTCTCGGAAGCGGTGCTGTCAGGACGACGGCAGTGAGGGAGGCTTTGTGAGCCCGCTGACCGAGAGCAGTCACGTCCAGGGACAGGCCACTGCGTCCCCGGGTGCCGGTGGTGGGCACCCATGTGGGGTACGGCCTCTGCCCGCAGCTCTTCTCAGGAGGCCTTAGCACTTCCCTCTTCCGCGGTCCCTGTCCAGAGCTTAGACACCACTCGCCACCGATTTTCCAGTCTTACTCCATCACTGACCGTCTAGCCAAGTGCTTTCTCGTTGCCTGCTTTCCTGTAGCTCCATCCTCCTGGCTCCGCTGTGTCCGGGGAACATGGACAACTGCGTGTGGTGCCTGCCCTGGTAGGGCCCCCTCCCGGGCACGCACCCCTAGCGTTCTGGGACTGAACCGTGGTAGTTGTTCTGCAGATAACGCCTAAGGCTGCGCTTTGCCACGGGACACCTGGCAATCCTCCCTTAGGGTCACCCTTGAGGCTGTGATGCTACAACTTTCGTCTTTAGTTGGTGTCAGCGGTCTTGTACAGAAATCAAGTAGGACCTTCTCACATCGGGCGTCTGATCAGTGGAAACTCCGGGAGACCGTGGGTACCCGACGAAGGGCCGGTGTAGCGGGGTAGGTGCTTTGGGATCTGAACCATTTGCGTGTGCAGCCTGTGCCCTCGGGACACGCTCGAGCCCGTGTGTGTGTGTGTGTGTGTGTGTGTGTGTGAGAGAGAGAGAGAGAGAGAGACTTCTGTCTAGTGCTGAAGTGCCCCAGCAGCTGCCCGGCCTAATGATACAAAGGGTCAGCTACGCTCTGACCGGCTCCATGGCGAAGTGCAGTCTTAGTCTGTCTTGGGCTGCAGAAGAACTGCAGAATGATCACCGCGGTCCGTCCTGCTGCGGGATCCTGTCGGCACCACGGTCTGAGGGGGACAGCAGCTTTCACATCAACCTGTTGTGGAGCATTTTCTTATTCTGGACCTCCTGCGAAGCTGGCGGTTTTATAGGTTCATTTAATGTCAGAACAGCAAGGCCGAGTGTTACTCCCAGAACCCAAAAGAGGCTCCCTGGTAACTTGCTTCATTCCAGTGGCAGTGGGTGTAAGACACAGAAACAGCTCTTCCCTTTGCAGGACATACTGGAACATTCCCTGATCTCTGGGTCCCTGGAACCTTCCGGACTGCGACCCCCTGCGTTCTTGTGGGTTTGTGCCCCACCCTTTGGCCTTCACGTCTTTCATCCAGACATCTGGAGTATCTCTCATTTCCTGGGTGCACACATTATCCACGGGTGGACTGGCCTGCGGGGCAGCCTTGGGCTCCGGCATGTGCTGAAGAACCGGGGAGGCGGCCCAGCCCGCACACAAGCCTGTGGAAGTGCGCTGTATGGCCTGCCGCTGGTAGGTTTGGTAGCAGGCGGACAGGGAGGGGCCGCAGCAGGCTGCAGGCCAGAGGCCGGGCCGTATTGATCTGAAGAAGCCACATCCGGGGCAGCGTCTACAGCCGAGCTGGCCGCTCAACCCGTGCCCGCTCACCAACATCTGGCTGCCTTCTCGTAGGCCAGACGGGCACAGGTCACATGGGGACTCACCTCAGAAATTCCCATCAAAGCAATATGGCTTTTGGTTTCACCATCTTGGAGGTAAGAGGCCATGCTGTAAGCTTCCCTTTTCCACTAGACCTTGAGGGCCAGG